ACCCAAAAAGTTTTGGGTTGAAACTAAACCAGAATACATCATCATCATTATCTTTCCATAAATAGCTATTTAAGAAGTTTCAGATGTACAATTGCTTCATGTTGTTGATGTTTGCTATTCCTTGGGTAAAATAATCTCAGGTAGTATTAAGACTGTCACTAAGGATTGTTCATGTATAATTTATACTCACAATTAAAAAGCATTTTTAACCAAATGTCACAACACAGTGACAACTAAATTAGACTGTGATTTACATTACCATGTGCTGCCACTTGATTTAGTGTCACTTTAGAGATATTAATAAGCAGCCCATGTAGAGCAAGGCAGAGGTCTTAGTCAAGAAGGTGCTCATTCCCCAGCTGTGAATGAGGTGAGAGATGGATGGTGGGTGCATGTTGCTACTGTTGTGATTAATAATTTTTAGAATATGTACAGCAGTGGAAGAGCAGCCCTTTTAGTAATCATACAAGACACCTCTCATAGACAGATAAAACATTTAATTCTTATTTAAGGTATACTTAAAGAAATGACTACAGAGATCCTCAAAACCAAATCTCTCTCTTAAATATGAAGAAATCAAAGTTCAATAATTCAAGTGACAATTGGCACTGATCACAGAAAAATAACTTTAAGTGTATGCTTTGAATTAAATAATTAAAAAAATATATTCAAGCAAATGCAAGTGTCCATCATCACACTATGAGCTAAAAGTCTCTGTAGGGATTCGTGTGCTTATTTTGGGTGAATCTGGCAAAGGCTGATTTTTTTATGGAAATTTCAAGAATGAAATAGGATATATAAATTAAGAGCCAAAGACACATGATATGGGAAGAAGATGGATAGTCCGGAGAGATCTAGACTAGATAAAGAGCAACACAGTAGAAATGGAAAACAAAAAGAAAGTGTTGCTGCAGAGGAAGTGACTTGGAACATTTAAAGTTCAGCAGAATGATTAGAAGCAAATATATCTGACTTAATTTTAATAATGTTTTTTACAAAAGGATAAATTTGGTAATGGCTGGGTGAGCTCCAACTGGAAATCTTTATAAACAACAACTGTAAAATATGGACATAATAGCTCAAGGCAGATACTGGAGAGTGAACAGAATAATGCAAATTATTTTGAGGAGTGCATATTCAGGAAAGGGGAGATATATTTGTTATCACTCTTTCTAGCTGGGGAGTAAGCACTGTTGGTATGCATACAGTGGCAGAATCCCTTGTGTGAGAAAGCCCTAATTTTCTGTCCTGGGAAATCAAAATACTGAGTCAGAGAAACTATATTTTCTGGAAAAGGACATGGCGGGTATTTAAGAAGGGAACTATCTAGACAGAATATTCCCTATTTTAATCTATCTGCATCTCCAATAGACCTCAGAATCATGCACGAGTGGGTCAGACTCAAAGCAAATTAGCTAAAGCAATAGTTGAGATTAGAATTATTGTCCAAGACAAAAACAAAACAATCACTTAGGTAAAGCAGTTTCCAGTCTCCACATCTTATTATTCATCATGTCCGCGATAAAATGCAGTCTTATTCGACATAAGAGAACCTTGTATAAGGAGATCATTGTAAAAAAAAAAAAAGAAAAGAAAAAAAACAACGAAGGAAAAGAAAAGCAAGTGAGGCCATCCCTGAGGTAGAAGACTTAGATGTTAGAATTATTAGTAGTACAAAAAAATTTTAAAGTTGCTATTTTTTAAAGTAAGTTGCTACATTTGTATTATTGAATACTATTCAGCAATAAAAACATAAAAAGGAACCAAGTATTGGTAGATAAACAACTTGCATGGATCTCAAAAGAATCAGCCAATGGAAAAAAGCCAAATGAAATACTAAAAAATCTATTTCTCCAGTTTTATGACTTTCTAGAAAAGGAATAATTATAGGTACAGAAATCAGATCAATAGTTGCCTGGAGCTGGAAGCTGAGATTGAGTGCAAAATTTACAAGGGTGATTTTCTGTGGGGTTCTAGAAATGTTTGACATCTTATTTGTGTTCATATTTATATAATTTATAATTGCAAAACTCACCAAAATGTTCACATAAAAGGGTAAATATTTTTGTATTTATATTATATCACAATAAACCTATGGGGAAGAAAAGAAAGAAAGAGAAATTATCATAAAAAGCGAAAGAAAGAAAATAAAAGCTCTTAGATTGGATGCAGAATTTTTATTTTTTTTCTCAGTAACAAAATTGATTTTTTGGAACAACTAGAATAATGACAGGTGGTAAAGGTATAAAAAACAAAGAATGCCTCATGCTATTTCATGTTATTCCCAGACATTTAGTGTTCAGGCACAAAGTTTTTTGTTTGTTTTTAACATGATCTCATTTTGAGGATATATTTGTATATATTACCCAATAATACTAGATTTTCAAATAAGAATACAATCTATTGAGCTAAAAATATTTCAGTTAACCAATTGGTAGCATGCACTTAAATATAAAATAAATATATTCCTTTAGTATCAGTTATGTTATACAGTCAAAATAGCACTTGGATGGATTTTATATCAGCTGTGCTAATATATTAGGTCATTAAATATGAAATGTCCTATTTTGAATAAAAATATGGTTTATTATATATCAAACAAGAAGCAGTATAACTAATCAAAGCATGCACCTAAACCATTGACACAATTTTGCTATCAGAACAGTAGCTTGTTTACGCCAGCAGCAAAGAAGCCTAGAGAGCGAGTGGCAGTGAAATTGCAAAAGGCATTTTCCACAGCTAGTTGAGAATTGAATATTTTTCCTTGCAAGAAGTGATCCAAAGCCTGGAAGAAATGACAGTCAGTTGGTGTAAGGTCTGGTGAACATGGTGGATGACAGAGATTATCCAAGACTACAATGCTGCTATAGCCTGAGCAGTGTTGTTTGCGTGATATGTGGTTGAGTGTTCTCTTGCCAGAGGATTGTCCTGTCCCTATTGACCAATCTTGGCTGCGTAATCACAAGCATCCTCATCATTTCATCCAATTGGTTGCAGTATACATTGCTATCATGGACTGACCATGTTCCATGAAGCTATAGTTGATAATACCAGCACTGGACCACTATACAGATACTATTAGCATTTTTTGATGAATATTTGATTTTGGACTGTGTTTTGGCACTTCATCTTTATCCAACCATCATACCAAACACTTGTGATTATCAAAAAGAATCTATTTTTCATCACACCTAAAAATACAGTGTAGAAATGGTTCATCTTTATGTTGTGACAGCAAGGAAAGGCAAGCTTCGAGATGATTTCTCTGCTGACACTCATTTAATTCATGGGGAATCCACCAAATGGTCCGATATTGTTGGAATAGTAATGTCAAACCTTACTGCTAATTCACATGTAGGTTGAGATGGATTAATTTCCACTACAGCTTTCAGCTCATTATCCACCTTGGTCTCAAGTTACCCACATGGTTCCTTTTCAAGATTAAAATCACCAGAACTAAATTTCGCAAACCATTGACATGCTGAGCATTCATTAGCCACATCCTTCCCAAAAACTTTGCTGATATTTCAAGTTGTCTGCCTTGCATTGGTTCCTCGACAGAACTCATAGTTGAATACAACAGGAATTTTTTACTTATCCCTAATTTCACAAAAATTGTTCTAAAACACTTTGGAAGATAATCACAAGCCAAAATGTGCATTTAAAGACTGAGGATGTACCTCCACAATAAAAATAAAACAAGAAGTGTCAAAGTGAAATATCAGAGATATCAACTGGCAAACTTAGTACTTAAGGAAATCAGACATTTCATGCTTTATAACTATATATCTATATATATTGTATATAGCTCACATCAATGCTATTCACAAATTATTCCTGAATAACTGGTTTATTTGCACAAAGTCTTGGTACAAAGAAAGCAAGCAATTGAGTCTTTTTTTTAACAGTCCCTCACAGTCCCCATTTATTGTGCTAATGACAGTTTTTGAAAAGATAAAATATTATGGACATAGAAGCAAATCATTAGTTGTCGGCTCTTTCCATTATTTCACCATTTCCCTAACAAAGCCCCAAATTTTAACCAAAATGATCCTACTCATCTCCTTTCTTTCCCACCTCATCCCTACCACCCCTAAATAATACACCAGTAATAACCCAAAACCACACACATGCTACACTGTAAAAAAAAAAACGCAGTGTTAACACTATTGGGAAGAAGACTGAGTTGTGGAGATGCTCTTTGAAGATACACAGTATCTTTTTGCTCTTCCACACCCAATTCTGCAAGTTTTGCCCTTCATAGAAAGCCCATAGTTTTTCTCAGCAAAGTGCCGAATGGGTTGCCTTGAAACACTTATCCCCTTCCCCTCCACTGGAATGGGTGTGTAAACTAGACAGCTTGCACGACTTTTAATGCCCTTTGGGCTGCTGCAGGGCACAGAAACTCTTACGTATTGTCTCTTCAAAGGTCATCTTCTCAAGCCACCTCTATGGTGTCAGGACAAGTAAAACCCCTTCCTCCCCACTTGAAACCCATAGCCAGACGTTCACAGGGGCTGGTACCGTGTTTCCCCGAAAATAAGACCTACCCATAAAGTAAGCCCTGGCAGGATTTCTAAGCATTTGCACAATAGAAGCCTCACCCCGAAAATAAGCCCTAGTGAGGGGCGTGGCTAAGCAGCGCGTCTGCACAACCCGTGCGTGTCCTTGCGGAGCGGGAAAGAACACGAGCAGCCCTCCTCATCTGCCCCTTGAGAGCTCTAGTGCTCCACGTGAGAGATCGGGGCCGATGGTTCTAAAGGAAATATAGTCTCAAGAAATTCAGGATGGAATTCAGGGTTTGGAGAGCTGTGATGATGTTCCAGAAGACGACAGCTTCACTATACTTGAGTAAATGTAGATGGTTGTACCGTACCTAAAAAAGATAACACATCCCCCTGAAAAGATGCCCTAGGGTGTCTTTTTGAGGAAAAATAAATATAAGACCCTGTCTTATTTTCGGGGAAACGCGGTACTCAGGATGAGTTCATCTTTAGTACCTTTTTTGTCGTCTTCCTCCGAGGGGCAGGAACGCCAGCCAGCCTGTCCTCAGAGAAGGACACGACCACCTGCGGGCACTCTGGCTTCCTTGGCCTCCAGCTTTCTGGGCTGACGGGTGACGCTGCTGCTCAGAGCAGCGCCCCAAAACCTGAGAGGAATTGCCGTCACGCTACTGGCGCGTTGCCTCGGGCCAGCCGGGGAGTTGGGCCCAGGAAAGCAACAAGCCGGGTGGCCGCGGTGCAGCCCCTCACTGAAGCAGCATAGCCCACGGAAGGCCCGGGTCGCCCGCCTCTCCTCAGCCCAACGCTGGGGCCTCCCGCTCATCACGGCCCGCCGCCTGCACTGCGCAGGCGCGACGACTGCCCCGCCGCACGGCACCATGGGACTCCACAATGGAGTCATAGTACGGTTTAAGTTTTTGTTTTTGTTTTGTGGTCAAACCAGTATGTAATTTATTTTTTTAATTTCAGGGTATTATGAGGGTACAAACATATGTTAGAATAATAAAAAGTGTATTCACTAAATTTATACTGTCTATATAAATGTGTATAAATTTAGTGAATACACTTTTTATTATTCTAATATATGGTTATTTTACCAATAGAAATTGTACTTTTTCTGTTACTAGCATTTAAGTATGTTTAACGATTACATATATTTCCCAATTTTTAAGTCATTTAAGAACTGAGATGTTTTTCAGCAGATTTCAAATGTTTAGACGCTGAATTAAAATATAATTAGCAGTGAAAAGTTACTCTTTCTGTTACCTGACATTAGGTAAGACTTCCCACGTTAGTTATTCTTAATGACTAGAACCATTTAAAAATAATTTTTTTATTCCCAAAGTATGTTAATCTTTTGGTTACATTATGACTTTGTATATTTACAGAGTTTTTCCTATATCACCAAAGCATAAAACTAACTTTCTATCAAATCAGTTATGGGTCTGGAAATAAAATTAGAAAACTAATAAAAGTGGAGATGTCAGGGCTCTTGCTATTTTCCTAGCAGCAGGAAGATCCTTTATTTGATGTATAACAGTCTGTATTGCAGATATGAGAATGGATGGCAAAATTTATATTACAGATACTATTTTAAGAAAATATAGCTGAGGAACATTTTCCTGAAGTTCACCATTTAGAAATTAGCACATCAGTCTGTATTCATGTAGTTAAATCACATGTTATATATCATACATACTTAGAAAAAAATAAGTAAAGCTAATTGCTAGAAATTTCAATTAGAAAACTACATTATTTAAATTAGTATCTGCTAATACTTGGACCTCTTTATGTTCAGAAACCCAAAAGAAACCCATTATAAAAATAGGGAGAATTCATGCTGAAAATATTTTATTGTACCATCTCCATTCATATAATTTTTTGGCCATATTTCATTTTTATGTAATTGCTTCAATAATATCTTTTATTGTGTTTGATTATATTATTACAATAATATCTCTTACTGTCTTTGGTTTAGAAATTACAAAATGGATAGCAGTTTCAAAATATAGGAAGAACATCTCAGGATTAGATTGTCCTATAAGAATTTCATAAATCATATGATCAAAAAAGGGCTAATGACTATGAGACTGGGATATACTTCAAGAAATATGGACTTGATCAAGGAGGCTATGGAAAAAAATTATTTCAATAATGATGAGATCAAAACCATGGAGCAGGATTTCAGAGCACGAAATGTCTGAAATAGGCCAAGAAGGCTGACGAAGAGGGAGGGAGAAAGAGGTTACCTGAGACATTATTACAGGTTGATAAACTGCCCTAAGATTGGCAATTACGGTTTAAAATTGGGACCAAGGGAACAACAAAGATTTGGAGCACCATTGATCACACTAAGCAGGTGGCAGGTGGCACCCTCACACTCTATTTAGGAGGATTGGGAGGGAGAGCTATAGAATAAAATCTTAGGGACAAGAGACTATGGAATACAAGAACACAGGGGGCAAAAGATAAGGAAAATGATTGAACTATGGTTCATACCAGGGAGCTGGGCGGTCCAAACCCCCACCAAGGCCCTTTGAAGAGTTCACATGTACTTTTCTATACCTAACAACTGGCTACCTGCCACATGGGAGCATCTGCACCCTGAGAAGCTGGCCAGAGAAGCATGAAAACCAGCAGAGAATGGACTACAGCTGAGGGAAGTTAATTAAAGAAATATTTATTTCCTTTCCTCCTCCCCCACTACTCTTCCTCATATAATCAGGGCAATTGTTCTCTGGAAATGGAGGTGGGTAGGAAGTATCTCAGGATCAAGCCATATACATTTTTATGTGTTCTTCTACTTGCTGGGCTGGAAGGAGAACAGGATAAGCAGACCACTTCAGATCCCTGGCCCCAAACATGACCAATAGTTGTGGCAAGAGGCTGTTTGAATTAGAATTTGCTTTGTAATTCTAAACTGGACCTTAAAATTCCTTAGGAATTTATGGAAGTCATCTAAAAGACTATTCAAGAAAACTGCTAACTAGTAGAGAAGGGAGATTTGACAACAATATGAGAGTTATATTTAGGAAGAAAAAAATTAATATTATCTCACACCAAGTTTATAGTCTTCAACAGACTATTCCAAATCCAAATGAATGACTAGATATAGGAAATAAGAGAGAGCAAAAGTAACACATGCTTGTAAAAGCTCATAATTCTGATAGTCCTTAAGATTGTTTTGGTATAGAATGTTTAGAGAGATAAGTTGAATTGTGGTTAGTCTAATTTCATTTAAGTCTGTGAACTTTAAGAGGCAATGTCGTATAAGCAACAAGAAATACACAACTCAGTCCAGAAAGGTCTTAACTGAGATTCTAGTGACCATGACTTAAGAAGTTAATTGAAGCCTTAGGAGGGATAAGCAGGGTTAGGTAAGACACGGTGAGCATGATAAACAAAGTGTTAGCCCTTTCTTATTCAGGAGGAGAAAGAGAAAAAAAAAAAAACTAAAGAGAGGTGTGACAGTATATTCTCATAGAGAGCAAGAAGTAGAGAATATTAGAAATTCAGGTGTCTAAAAATTTGGAAGTAAAGTAAATGTCAAGAAGAGTGATGAATGCTATATTTTATCATCTTCAAGAGCAAATTCATTATATGAACAAAACTAGAGACACCATTGATGGTTTGATGACAGGTGCAGACATGCTGTAACTTCATCAAGGAGGTTGACTCTGAAAGCAAGGAGAATCCGCTATTGATGCTTTGAAGGGACACAAGAGTCAAGACAGATGATATGTGTGGAAAGAGAAAAATGAGAGACAAACTGGCAATAGCTAGCAGAGCAAGTAAGTTAAGAAGTTATTGATGAGAGGGTAGGTAGACTGGTCACTGGGAAGAGCCAAGTGGTAGCTACAGGGTATGAACTTTTATTGTTCAGCATTTACTCAATTATATGAGTTTTATTCGCTAATGCTGCAAAAGGAAAGGTATGGATAGATGGTATGGCTAATCCGCAGATGGGCATTAATTAGATTATCTTAGAAGAACAGAAAGTGGAAAGGATGCTTACTGTAAATAAGATTGTTTTGAAATATTAATAATTGCTTCTGGGAACTTATCATTAAGGTAAATATAATTACCAGTTTTGTTCTGAATTATATACCCCAGAGGGGAGATGAGAGAGTATTCAAGAAGATGAACAATGTTGTGTTCTTCTGCATTACAATCCTTACAGCTGTTCTTGCAATCAAAGGTGAACAATGAGTCTAAGAAGATCAAATGGAATCTCATATTCTAACTGAAGTGGAAATAGTTTAAAAACATAAAAAGATTCACATCTCCTCGAGAATGAGAGGTGAAAACTAAGGATCAAAACTTTGCCAAAAGTCAAGAATTATTTTGTGCTGTCACAGTATTTAATAAGTTTGTAAGGGGTAGAAATAAAATATTGAAACCACAGTTTAAAACACAGATGACCAGGTGTTATTAAAGATAGAAAATTAAAAATAGGGTCTTGTGATAAGATACTCTGTAATTTGATGCTGACTTTCACCTTGAAATGTGATCTGTAAAAGATCATCTTCTATTTTCATGGCTTCATCCAATCTTAAAAGTAAACATAATGAGCTTAGTTGCTAAACTCTTGCAGATGATGTTATAGGACATAGAAAGTAAATTGTTGTGAAGCATTTTCACAGCCCAAAGATCTAATCTAAACAGAAGACAGAGGACAGAAGAAAAATCCATGATGAGAACACTTGCCAATGTTATTTTATAAATATTTGACTGTAAGGTTTGGATTAGACATTTTAGAACAGAGAAGAACAGAACAGCTAGTAATTAGAAACAAATATCCTTTGAAGGATCTTAATATGTATGCATTTATAACATTATGCATTATGTTAAAATAGGTTTTCTATTTGTTAAAAACTTTAATGAGTGTTTGATTGAATTGTAAGCCATACTCATAAGTATTCAGAAGTGACCATTGTTTTCTGTGAATTAAAATAATAAAGTATCAAAGACAAAGAATTTGACTATTTTGTCTGTGTGTGATTTTGTAATATTGGCAATGGCTTTGCTTTTTAGAATATTGGCAATAATTATGAATTTTTAACATATCAATAGAACACCAAGAAATATATTAAAGAATACGTGAATAAATGTATTCTGCAAACTTTATAATAAATCAATAGTCATTTCCCTTTTAAAATAGTATATCTCCTTCCTAGAAAGAGTTGGCTAGTCTAAAACTTTTTAGTCATTTACAGCTCCACCTCAACCAAATACAAAACAGAACAAAACTCTCTTTGTATTTGTTGTTAAACCCATTTCTTCTCCTCCTCCCTTTTACCTTCTTTATCTTATTTTCGGTATTCTGAATTGTGCTCGCTTTGACCAATTTGCACAGATTTTTCACTGTTTTGCAAGGGGCTTTTGTACCACAAGGGGGAAACCTGTCACATTATGGCAGAGTAGAATGCAGACAAATAGGTTGAAAGAAAAACTGTAGTGATAAAAAAAAATAATGACACCACAAAAAGCTCTAACTATATAGAATGCAAGTAATTCATCTTTATTCTTTTAGTGTGAGTTTGTGGGCTTTAAAACTTGGAATTATATTCTAAAATTTGGAAATGTCCTCTTTTTAACTATCAAAGCACTCATTCGATAATCACATGAACATATGATTAGCATTAAGCATCTCACAAAATTAAACGCTGAACACCCAAGTTATAAACTACAAGAGTCTACATTCTAACGAAAAACAAATTTCATGTAATAATGAAAAGAGATGTCTGTCTATGTAGGTAATTATCTTATCCCATTCACCATTTTGTGTATTTTGAATGAACTACAAACTAGACCTTACAAACAGTGAGACAGTTAACAAATGGAAGTCACATTTATATTGATACTTCTTATGGTTAGTAACCCAAACCTCTAATTTATCTCTTATTTAATGACAACCATTTTAAAGTACCATGTAGATAATATAATCATGTTTTACAAGAATGATGTTTTTTT